ACCCCAGCAACCGCTGCAAACCTCGGAGAGAAAGCTGCCCTCACGTTCCGACCGATGCCAGACAATCCCGCTTCTCCTGTTTGAGTCTGAGTCCCTAGAGACTCGCCCGGATCTGGAGCTCAGAGTCTGAGACTCCCTCGCGATTGAAAACGACAACCGCACCCTCAGCCACCAGCCGGCTCCACACGCACCTCCGTACCTTTGTATTTTCCACACTGCGCCTCCTCTGAGCCTCGGTATGCTGTTCTCTTTCCTTCTAGTTGAAAAATCTCTCCTCAGCCAGCCTTCCTGTGGTTCTGGGTGATGTCCGTTCCGTCTTTTAGTTGTATTTTTGAAGTGGTTGTTTGCGGCAGCAATCTCCGGTGTTTACCTATGCCGCCATCTTGGTTTGTGTTATCTTTTTTTAAATTTGGCAATCTAAGGGAAAAGAGGTCAGTGCCCCTGACTAGTCAGGTATTGCATGTTTTAAAAATTCTTGCAGCACATTGATTGAAAATTGCTGATTTAGCCCAACACTGCCATTAAGAAGGGAGAAAACCAAGGCTCGGATTGAAGTGACTTGGCAAATCACACAGTGAGTTGGCGGGCCCAGGTCAGATAGATCTAGAAATCCTGGCATTGAACCCTTTTTTGAAAAAGTTTATTTTATTTTTTTAATATATTTTTTATTGATTTCAGAGAGGAAGGGAGAGGGAGAGATAGAAACGTCAGTGAGAAGAGAGAATCATTGATTGGCTGTCTCTTGCACACACCCCCACTGGGATCGAGCCTGCAACCTGGGTATGTGCCCTGACCAGGAATTGAACTGTGATCTCCTGGTTCATAGGTAGACGCTCAACCACTGAGCCACACCGACTGGGTTCGCATTGAATCATTTACATCTGCCTCTCATAGGCCTCATGGGTCCAAGACCAGAGAACAGAGGCTTCTTCCTACCCAGTAACCACAAGAAGTTCCCACAGAGGGTGAGATTCCGTGAGCAATCTCTTGGCAAGAACAGCATCCATATATCCTGTGCCACTGTCAGCTGCCCAAGGAAGAACCTCAATGTCTGACTCAGGGGTGGAGGCTGTGGGAGCATCACTGTGCAGTTCCAATATGGCAGTGGCTGCGCCAGGAAACATCTGCTGCTGTTTTGAAGGCACTTCTCTCTGGTGATGAACTCCGAGCCAAGCCTCCTTCTGCATCCTGTCCTTCCGGAGCCCTGGAGGACCTGGGTGTGTGGAGGGGGACAGGGATGGTGGAGACCTGCCTGCCACCAAGGGATGTGGGCCCTGCCGTCTGGCTTCTGTACTCCAAGCCTCAGCTGAGATCATGTGCACAGTTCTGGGAAAAGGCGAATATCCAATCCTATCTGCTTCCCCACTCTTAACTCTGGGCCAGCTAACTTCCCGTTGGCCCCCTTTGTTCTCCCAGAGGGAGCAAAACAAGAGCCAGGAAGAGGCAGGACTGTGCTGCACAGTAGGACTGGCACGGCCTGAGAACCGGGGATTGGGAGGCCAGAGGTGACTTCACATCAGCATCTGCTGTAGCAAAGGTGGACAGCAAGGAGTGTCCAGAGCTGGGTCTGCTTTTTCCTTTGACATCCATGGTGCAACCTTCCCCTTCCACCCTCTATTTTGTCTGCGGGGCCCTTCTTCCCAGCTCTCCACCCTTACTCCCTACCCAGTGCTGGGAGTGTCGGCTGGGTGGGGTCCTCAGTGTTGACTGAAAGTGAACCAGGTGTCAGGCACCTGTGACACAGCACACAGAGGCTGGCGGGGAAAGCACACAAAGCTTGTTAAATTCATGGGAAATTTATATTTTGGTTCCGGGACTGATTCAGAATCTAACAATATTTATTGAACGCTTAGGGGTGGTGTGAGGAATGAGTTCTTCGTGATCATGGTATTGCCCCGTCAGGTAAGCACTGGGATGAGTTCTCGGGCTTCCTGCAGCCCCTTTGAAGCAGAGGATGTGGTGTCAAGGGAGCCCGGCAACACTGACTCAGGCCCCCTCACCACCCAAGGACTGACTTGGTGGCCCACCCACACCATCTCTTGCCACCCTCTCTGCCCCTGCTTGGGAAGCTGTGAAATCACAGCAGCTTAGAGCCCCTCGGGGGATTTGGAAATGGAAAGTATTCCTTGAACTGCTGTTTCATTTTCCAGAGTTGCCGGTGTGGCAGGCATCGCAACGCCCATTTTTTTAAAAAAATATATTTTTATTGATATTTTACAGAGAGGAAGGGAGAGGGATAGAGAGCTAGAAACATTGATGAGAGAGAAACATCGACCAGCTGCCTCCTGCACACCTCCCATTGGGGATGTGCCCGCAACCAAGGCACATGCCCTTGACCGGTATCGAACCTGGGACCTTTCAGTCCGCAGGCCGATGCTCTATCCACTGAGCCAAACCGGTTTTGGCCGCAACGCCCATTTAACAGGCCAGGAAACCGAGGCTCCAAGACATTGACGTAGAAGACCCAGCCCAATTATCATTGTGTATAAGTGACACGTCTTTATCCTTGGTATTCCTGGCTTTCCAGGGGTCCCCTCTGACGCTCCTCAGTCCCTTGCAGGTTGAGTGGCCCCCTGGCTCCACCAACTCAGAGGAAAAGTGGCTACTTGTGAGCTTCACACAGTGCGTCCACCTCCTTCAGGAGCATTTCTATTGCTCCACTAAGCTGGAGGAGAGTTGTGTGTGCTTTTTTCATTTTGTTTTAAATATCTTTTTATTGATTTTGGAGAGGAAGGGAGAGATAGAAACATTAATGATGAGAATCATTGATTGGCTGCCTCCTGAACACCCGCATTGAGGATGGAGCCCGAAACCCAGGCATGAGCCCTGACCAGGAATCAAACTGTGACCTCCTGTTTCATAGGTCAGCGCTCAACCACTGAGCCATCCAGCTGGGCTGGGAGAGTTTTGATAGAAAGCAGCTGGAGAGTCTGGCCCTAGAGCTAAACAGAACTCAAAGCAGGCATAGTGGGCGATGTGACTACTAAGTGTGTGCTTGTATTGTGTGTAGGCGGAAGTCTCAAGATCCTACCCTCCTCCAGAGATGACATAAGAAAAGTAGTGTGTGCCCGGTCAGTGTGGCTCAGTGGTTGAGCATTGACCCATGCACCAAGAGGTCAGGGCACATGCCCAGGTTACTACGGGCTCAGTCCCCAGTAGGGGCCATGCAGGAGGCAGCCCATCGTTGTTTCTTCCTTGTCGACATTTCTCTCTCTCTCCCCCTCTCCCTTTGTCTCTATCTAAAATCAATAAAAACATAAATATTTTTTAAAAGCTCTAAAAAAAAAAAAAAGAAGGTACTGTGTGACCTGAGCAAATTACCTGATTTCTCCATTTCCTTAGCTGTAAAATAATCACATGTATTTGGCTTACTGTAAGAGATGATTAATGTTAATTTCTGACAGTCAATGAAATTATATTCGATGCACAAAATGTGTGGCTTTCAAAAATCTTGGACCTCCCCTTTGTGAAAAGATAAACCCAAGCCCATTCCTCCTTAAACAGAGGCAGAAATTATGACAGCAGCCTGGCACTACAAGCAGAATTTATTACCCAAAGCAGTTTGAGGAATTCCAGGTCACAGTTTTACCTGGTCACGAGAAAATCAGAACCTCTTCGAAGCCACCCTCCACCCCCAGCTGGAGCGAGGGATTAATGGCTGCAGCTAAGTTAAGTCACAGCTGCTATATCCTCATTCCTGAATAATAATCTTAAAGTCACATATGGGCATAATGTGATTGACTCTTACACAGTAAACTTAAAACAAGGTCACAATTTTAGAGAGATTATTCAGATAGAAAGACATCAAGGGTCTTAACTGGCTGAGAAGAGGACGGTTTTCTGTTTATGGTTACCAGAATTACATGGAATTGTATAATAATCCTGTGGGAGTTTGAGCCTAGAAGGGGATGCTATTCCTGTGGTGCATCAACCAAACCCTCCTGGCTAATCAAAGGCATGATTTAAGGTCTCCTGTGAGGGCCCCCTGTGACTCTCCTTAGGCAGGCATCTCCTGGTTGCCTGTGACAAAGAAGCCTGCAGTGGCTGGGGGTGGGGGTCGGTTAGGAAGGTGGCTATTCACCTTGCAAACACAATTCTCAGGGGTTGAAAATGAGGCAGACTTCAGTGTTGAGATGTTCCCTGACTATTTCTACATTTGAGGAATATAAGTTGGTTTGACCTAATGTGGGATTTTGGTTTTATAATTACCCAGCAGGTCAGTCCCTTATTCTCCCTTTGTCATCAAACCAAACAGCACCTATGTCTAAAAACACTGTGCTCTCAGCTAAAACTGCTGACAGCCCCTCATCCCAGGTCCCGAGGGGCAGATTTTCCTGAAAATCAGCTTCTGGACCAGTTACGTCTCGATAAAGTTGTCTCTTCATAACTCAGCCCCCTCAGCCCCCACCTGACCAGTCACGATGGAAGCAGGAACTCAAGGGACAGATTTCTTCCCTCACTTGACTCAGCAGAAACAGGTCATTCTGATTACAAGTTTCTCCAAACTATCCCTGTTTGTGTGTTTAAGGCATACCAACTGCTCTGTGTAAGGCTCTCTGCTTATAATGAATTATTTTAATCACCCTTACTACTTAAAAGAAACTTCTGCCTTAAAGCCCACCCTTGCCTAGCCATTTAGCCCTGAGATGCTGAGAGGGTGGGAATGAGGGCAGAGCCCAATTAACATCAGGGATTCTGGTCATTGGGGTCGCACTTGATCATGACTTTCAACCCCAAACCCTTTTTGGATGTTTCAAAGGCCTCCAGCGCTTTCTCCAGAGGAAACCTATGGGTCACTAAAGACTTCACATTCACAGACTTGGATGCAAGCATTGAAATCGCCATCGGCCATCTGTAAAAAATCACAAGCGTTACATTCAACCTTCAGGAGGAAAGAGCCAGGCCCCCAAATGTACCAAGCACATCAGCTTGGCCATATTCACCGACAGCACTATGGTTCTGCCAGGTCAATTCTACAAACCAAAAATGGAGGGAATGATCTTAGAACTTATCCTTTGGGAGTTCAGAGGCTGTTCCCAAATGCCCACTGGCCCCTCTTCAGTGTCTGCCGTGAAGCCTAGAACTCTTTTGGCATGAAGGCCTGGGGCATATGGAGGTCACTGTGAAAAGGCAGATAAGCCTTAGGGAGGCAGGCCAGGATAATCCAACCACACCCCTAGCAGCGCAGCCTGAGAGAGTTTACCGGAAAACTGGCACTCTGGTGAGGGAATGGTTAGACTCTAAAGGTGCGAGTAAGGAACACTGGGGAACATGGTCCTAGACAGAGCTCCCCAGGGGAGAGGGCGCTGACACAGAATGTGGGCTGAGGCACAATAAGTCTCTCTCACTTCCCAGAGTGGGCCCTGGGGCTCTGGAGTAAGAGGCAAGGGACTTGAGGAGTTCTTGCTGTTGTCCTTTCCCTCCTTCTTCCCTTTGAAGAGGGAAAATGGTCATCAGGCCACTTAAGTAAATGGAAAATAGAGGGCCTGACAGAGACCCAAGAAGAGCATGTTTTAAAATCCCCCTCCTTCCCTCCTCCCTCTGCCATCTCTGCCCTCCTGTTCTTTTACCAGGAATGAATCCTCTCTTTGGACCTCTATCATGTCGCATGGCTATCCATGTGACCACAGAGAGCTCGTCATGAATAAATAGGCAGAGACTCTTAGTCCCAGAGGCCTGCCCTGGTCTTGTTGGCCACTCGCCACCCCACTCACCCACAACATACTCACGTGTTGCAGTATCGAAACACGCCCTTGATATCCACTTCTCGGATGGCTGCATGCACTAGGGGCACATTGACCATCTCAGAACCCAGTCCTACAAGCATCAGGGTCCCACCAGGACAAGTGGCCTGAAGAGGAAGTAAGAACAAGAAAACCTGAAAGATAAGAAAATGCAGACTTCCCGCGCATAGCAGTGTTACAAATATCTTCTGACTGCATCAGGCGAGTATCCAGAAATTCCAGGAATGATTTTCTCTATTCTGCTGAACTCTTCAACACGGTGACCAAACTCAACAGAGCAGCTGAGTAATCATCTTCCTTAAAAATCCTGAAATAATACACTCCACCACTGGAAGACAAGCAAAATGGGAGCATTTTCGCTGTCCACAACATCCCGTGAAATAGCCAAGGTCCTCCAGACCCCAGTGAGAATCTCCCCTACAAACAACATTGATCTTTAGCAACCCTGGCATGTCTTTCAACGCTTTACTAACTCATACCAGATGTTGGCTTCAGCTACTTCCTCATCTCAGCACCTGCTCCTCCCCCAGTGTGCCCACACACAAGACAGGACTTTTGTCAAACCTCTAAGGAACCACCCTCTTGGGGGGTGGGGGGGTGGGGACTATTAAGCACTATACAAATGAGGAGGACTACTGGAAGTTTGTGGTTTAAAAACTGCCTCATACGTGCAAGCTGGCATTTAGGAATATCTCTGTTCCAGAAACATTCATCCAGATAGTATTGGTCATAATGGATTTTGTCTTCCTTGAACATCTATCTGCCTTATCAGTCCCCTCCTGGAGTAGGCCAGAGAGTGCAATTTCTCTTGACAATCTCCACATAACTCCTGTGTTGCGCCTGCTCCGGAGAAGCAGGAAAATGTTGCTGTATCCACTGGAAAAGTGGGAGCGAGAGGTCAAAGTTGTGAGTGAGCCACAGAAAACTGAGAAATGTTCTAGGAAAACTGCTTCCCCACTATTTCCTCTTCACCTGGTGAGGAGGGAGAACACCTCACACTGGCCATCCCAGTTTGCTGGCCACAGACGAATGCTTGGGCTACCTGATTGCTGTTTCATCGGTGTGACCTCTGCCCGGAGGAGATGACATCAATTCTACCCTACGCATTTGCCACTTCTCCTCATGAACATTACCTAGTCATGATCTGGCAGGAAAAGGACTCTCAGGTATGCCCATACAAGGTGCCTCCGCCTAACCTGCCTGCTGATGGGGCAGCCTGTAGCATTCTACAGCACCCGTCATGCATGATGGCTTCACCTCCACTCAGGAGAGGCTCAGGCCTCAGGCCTGGTGAGGCTCTTGGGTCACATTTACCTTCACGGTCACCTCAGGTAGGCTGGTAACTGGGCCCCCACTGTGAACAGCTGGAGATGCCAGCTGTTCCCAGATGCTCTTCAGGCAGGAGAAAAGAGGAAGGAAAGCCTCGAGTTGAGAAGCCATGTCTTTTACTGCCTCTCTGTGCACTGGGGTGGGGGTGGGGGTGATGGTGTGCCTGATCTGCCAACAACTTGAAGACAATAGACGTACCTCACTCACTATCATAGACCTCGAAGTGCCCAAGACATGTCATGAACTGACTGATCATACCCATCACCTCTGAGTTTTGGTTTCTCTTGGTCCCGGGGCGAGGGTGCCATCTGTTCCTTCCTCCTGTCACCATTTAATCTGTCCCTGATGCCATGGGCATCTTGGTAGGAGGAGGGCTTGGCAGCTCTGCCAGGTACCGGGCCGGAGGGCCATGCCACACTGACCTCAGGGTTCAGCTTTTCCTGGAATGTCTTGCGTGGTTCCAAGTGCCCTTGTGTGTGACCCAGCTGTGACTCAGAAGGAAGGAGGAAGCCCAACTGCTGTGGGGAAACAGTCTGGGAGGCAGGGCAGGAGTCCCCGTGGTGGCAGGTGCAGCCAGTGCTCTCCCCAGCCCCACCCCTCCCACCTGAGCATGATTGCCCACGGGCTTCTTGTCCTTTCTTTCCCTTCCTCTCCTAAGCAGCGGGCAGAGTAAGGAAAGCACAGGCATTGGGGAAGTGTGCTCAAGGCAAGCCACTAGACCTCTCGTAATATGATGACTCATTTCAAGGCTACTGTGCAGATTGGGGATATCATGTTTATAAAACACCTAGCAGAAAACCTGGCACACGGTGAGGCTTGGAACCTGGAACGTATTCTTTGTCTCCTCTTTTCCTCATACTTTGACATGTCAATGCTACTTCCCCTCTCCACCTCCCTGCCAACTTCTCATAAATTACAGGTGAGTCCAAGAGGGACTTACCAGGTATTGATAGCACATCCCCTCCTAATTCTGGGAGAGGACAACAGTAGCCAACTGTGGCCCTGAAAACTCACCTTTGTGAACTATTGGCTGTCACTTTCTAAATGACTTAAAGACCACAGTTTTCCTCAATAAAACAGGATAAGAGTTTCCCACACTTAAGACACGCTTCCCCGTTCCTCCTACTGATCCTTTATCAAGAGTACAACTTTTATGATCACAGATATGGTCGGGACAGAAAACCCTGACGTGTGGGTCACTTATCTTCCAAGGACTGTGTATATTTGTTACCTTGTTTAACCCTCACAATTACCCAATGTGAATGTTAGGCAAGTGCCACTATCTCCACAAGAGAGATAAGAAAGCAGAGATACAAAGAAATCACTTAATTTCGATGGGGGACCACAGAGCAAGGCTGTAGAGAAGCTTGATCCTAGGACCCCTGACTTCTCAGTTCACTACCCCCATGGATTCCCAGCCCTGCCCACATCCCACTCACGTAGATGCCCGCCTGGATGGCGGCCTCCGCCCCAGTGCACTCGATGGTGACTTCTGGCTTGCACCCCAGGAGACCTTCCACTTTACTGGCGATTTCCTGCGGGCTCTCCTTGGTGATCTGGAGGACAAAGTCAGCCCCAACTTCCTTGGCTTTAGACAACCGAGAGGCAGACAGATCTAAAGTCGAAAAAAGGTTTTCTTCAAACTGAGAAACTGGATGTCGGATTAGAAAGAAAATTAAAACGGAGGTGCAGCCCTGGCTTAGTTGGTTGAGCGCAGTCCCGTGCACTGGGCTCCATCCCAGTAGGGGGCTTGCAGGAGGCAGCCAATTGACGTTTCTCTCCCTCTTTCTCTAAAATCAGTAAAAACATATTTTTCACACACTCCCATACACACACATATCTAATTACACGCGCGCACACACTCTCTTCAAACACACACTTTCACAGATACCTTCTATACACACTCTGATAGCTTCTCCTCACACCCTTCTGCATTCCCACTACCCTATTCATCCACAAACCTGCACACCACACAACTCTACACACTCATCCACACATACTGTGATAACCTCTTCTCACACATATGCACACTCTCAGATACCTTACACACACACAAATATTCTCTCTAACAGATGCCTTCTCCACATACACACACCCTTTGATACCCCATGTGCTTCCAAACACACCCACACATGCTGTTGGATACCCTCAGCTCACACATATACACTCATGTCTCTCACTCATAGCACACACCTCACACACAAACATCCTTATAAATATATTATACTTCCCACTAACTTCACATCACATATATACACACAAACACACCCCCTGTCTCCTGGACTTAGACAAATGAACCAAGGGCTGAGCCTCGTTTTAGGACTAAGTAGGCAGTATGGGCATCTCAGGTCCATACATAAAGAGCCAGGTCTCCTTCTCCCAGCAGCTTCAAAGAAGAGTGTCCTCCTGAGCTCTGACTTGGTCATCCCCTGAGTGGGCTTCTCAACCTTGGAACCCAGAGAAAAGGGGAGAAAGCCCTTCAGAAACCCAGTACCCGCTGAAGGGAATAGGTCTTATGCTTCTGCCTCAAACTATAGGCCCAACTGTTTTCCCCCTCAAGGATATTTTTAAAAAGAAAACCTTACCAGTCACCACCACTTGAGCTGCGCCCATTGCCTTGGCCACCAGCAAATTGACCAATCCAATTGGCCCTAAATAAAGCAGGAAATGGAAGACGTTTGTGAAAGATGAAACACAGTTCTTCCCCCTTTGCAGGCCAAACAAGAGCCATATCTTTTTTTTTTTTTCAAATTAATGAGTCATCTAATTAATAAGCCAGTGACTGAGAGGGAGTTATGGCTCCAAATCTCCCAGTCCCAAAATGGTGGCACATCAGGCTTATATAGGCAAATATTACAAAGGTATCGATTACATCTTTGGGTTTGGAATGAGGAACCTAGTTTGCACAAAGCACTTACAGAAGTGAAATTGAGCAAGTTAGTTATCTGTAAGATTAATTATAGTTTTGGGTCTTCAGATCACTGAATCAACGGAAACACATTATCTGGAGCCAAGAGCCATATCTTTTGTATACCTCTAGCATCTATCCTAGTGCCTGACACATAATGAGATCTTAACAACAGTTTACTGAATCACGAGTAAATAAGTACATGAGGAATTATTTGCTTGTAGGGCTGGATTCTGCTTGGTATTCTCCTTAACAGAGTTATCAACTTTCCACTTACTCTTTGGTACTGTGTGGGGATAATGTCAAAGAACCAGAGGGTTCAAGGAAGCATACATTTTCTCAGAGGTTATCTCAGAAGGTCTGGATACATTTTCCTGTTCTCTCTTTGACCCCTACCTCCCTAGAACCCATCACACCTTCCCAAGGAGAGACATATTGTTTTATGTGCCCTGCGAGGACCAGCCTGGAGTATCCTTAAGTGAGCTGGCTCCCTGAGTTGAGGCAGCTGTTCAGGCAGCCCCAAGATGTTCAGGTGACTAAGAATCAGCTTGGAGACCACCTGCTTCCCCACAGTATCTACCTGCTAGATGGCATGATGGTTTTAATACAAAAATCCACAAAATAAGGCTTTTCAGAAAATCTTTGGGGATTTTCTTTTTGGAAAATAATTTTGTGAGTTCCCCTAGAAAGCAAAACACTGGAAAATACCTGAAATGACCAACAAAGGAATTAATTAAATAAACTACTGTGGGATACTACACAGTTAATAAAAAAAATTATGTCATAACTCTTTTATATCTGACATGAAAAAAATGTTAATAATATATATTTTTTAAAAGAGTAGTTAAAGAATAAAAAAGTATATTCAACATGATCTTAGTGAAAAAAAGAAAAGAAAAGAAAAGAAAAGAAAAGAAAAGAAAAGAAAAGAAAAGAAAAGAAAGGCTCTACACCAAAATGTTAATAGTGATTCTCTTGGGCTGATGGGTCTATGGGTAAATTTCTGTGTATGCACATATGGTGTGTATGACTTGTCTTTTTTTTCCCTTTAATCCTCTCCTGAGGACATGTTTAGAGAGAGAGGGAAAGAGGGAGAAAGAAATGATTAGTTGCCTTCCATATATGCCCCAACCGGGGATTGAACCAGGTATGTGCCCTGACTGAGAATCGAACTGGCAACTTTTGATGTACAGGATAAGGCTCCAACCCACCTGAGCCACTCCAGCTGGGCTGACTTATCTTTTCTGCCTATAACAAAAAGGGGCAAAAAGGTATTTTAAAAATCTGTCACCTGAATCCGACGGCCTGCTCGCATACTGAAGCAAGTCTGTTCTATACCCATCACCGTACTTAGGAAGCCCTGTGGTCATGTATTTGGCTCTGCCAAAGAAAAATCAGCGCCCAGCCAGTGTCGCTCAGTGGTTGAGCGTCGACATATAAACCAGGAGGTCGTGGTTAGATTCCCGGTCAGGGCACATGTCCGGGTTGCAGGCTTGGTCCCAGTGTGGGGTGTACAGGAGGTAGCTGATCAATGATTCTCTCTCATCATTGATGTTTCTATTTCTTTCTCCCTCTCCCTTCTTCTCTGAAGTGAATAAAAATATTTTTTAATAAAGAAAAGAAAAATTATTCACAAAATTGTGTGAGGATTAACTCAAAATGGATTGAAGTCTTGAACATAGACCTGAAACTATAAAACTCCTAGACGAAAATATAGGCAGTAAGCTCCTTGACATCAGTCTTGGCAAATTTTTTTGGATTTGACACCAAAAGCAAAGGCAATAAAAGCAAAAATAAACAGGTAGGACTATATCAAACTAAAAAGCTTCTGCACAGCAAAAGAAACCGTCAATAATGAAAAAGGCAATCTAGCCCTAACCGGTTTGGCTCAGTGGATAGAGCATCTGCCTGTGGACTCAAAGGTCCCAGGTTCGATTCCGGTCAAGGGCATGTACCTTGGTTGTGGGCACATACTCAGTAGGGAGTGGGCAGGAGGCAGCTGATCGATGTTTCTCTTTCATCTATGTTTTTAACTCTCTATCCCTCTCCCTTCCTTTCTGTAAAAAAATCAATAAAATATATATATTTTTGAAAAAGGCAATCTACCATATAGGAAAAAATATTTGCAAACCATATACTATTTGTTAAGGAGTTAATATCCAAAAGATATAAAGAACTCATACAACTCAACATAAATAATAAATAATTCAATTATTTCCTGGTCAAGGGCACATACCTGGGTTGCAGGTTCAATCCCTGGCCTGGGGAATGTATGGGAGGCAACCAATCAATGTGCCTCTCTCACATCAGTGCCTATCTGTCTCTCTCTGTCCCTTGCTACTTCCCTTTCAATCTCCCTAAAAATCAACAGAAAAAACTTCCTCAAATGAGGATTAACAATAACAACAACAAAAAGTGGGCAGAGGATCTGAATAGACATTTTTTCAAAGAAGACATACAAATGGCCAATAGGTACATAGAAAAAAGTGTTTAACATCACTAATTATTAGGGAAATGCAAATCAAAAAAACAATGAACTATCACCTCAGATCTGTTACAATGGCTGCTATTATAAAAAATAAGAAATAGCAGGTGTTGGGAAGATGTGCAGAAAAGGGAACCTTCATACACTATTGGTGGTATTTTAAATTGGTGCAGCCACTATGGAAAACAGTATGGAGATTCCTCAAAAAAACTAAAAATACAACTATTAAGTGATCCAGCAATTCCACTTCTGAGTATTTATCTGAAAAAAAAAAAAAAAAAGAAAAGAAAACACTAACTCAAAAAGATGTGTGTGCCACCATGGTCATTGCAGTATTGTTTACAATAGCCAAGACATCGAAACAACTTAAGTGTCCATCAATGGATGAGTGGATAAAGAAGATATGGTATATATACAATGAAATATTACTCAGCCATAAAAATAAGGAAATCTTGCTATTTGTGACAACATGGATGGCCTTTGAGGGCATTATGCTAAGTAAAATAAGTCAGACAGAGAAAAACAAATATCATATGGAGAAAGATAAATACCATATGATTTCACTTTATGCGGACTCTAATACAAACAAAAAATCCCAAGCTAAAAGATATAGAGAACAGGGTGGTTGCTAGAGGAAGGGAGTGAGAGGGTGAGTGAAATGGGTAAAGGGGGTCAAAAGGTACAAACTTTCAGTTATAAATAAGTCATGTGGATATAATGTGTAGCATGGTAACTATCCTATATAATAAAAGGGTAATATGCAAATTGACCCTAACAGTAGAACAACTGGGAATGACTGGTCACTATGACACACACTGACCACCAGGGGGCAGACGCTCAATGCAGGAGCTGCCCTCTGGTGGTCAGGGCGCTCTCACATGGGAAGAGCTCTGCTCAGCCACAAGCCAGGCTGATGGCTGCCAGTACAGCGGTGGTGGTGGGATCCTCTCCCCCTCCTCAGCAGTGCTAAGGATGTCCGACTGCAGCTTAGGCCTGCTCCCTGCTGGCAAGTGGACATCCCCCGAGGGCTCCCGGGCTGCCAGAGGGATGTCTGACTGCCAGCTTAGGCCCAATCCCCCGGGGAGTGGGCCTAAGCCAGCAGGTGGACATCCCCCGAGGGGTCCCAGACTGCGAGAGGTCACAGGCCGGGCTGAGGGACCCCCCCCCCCGAGTGCACAAATTTTTGTGCACTGGGCCTCTAGTCCTATATAATAAAAGGGTAATATGCAAATTGACGGGAACAACTGGTCGCTATGACGTGCACTGACCACCAGGAGGCAGACGCTCAATACAGGAGCTACCACCTGGTGGTCAGTGAGCTTCCACAGGATGAGTGCTGCTCAGCCAGAAGCCAGCTCATGGTTGGCCAGCACAGGGGACCAGGCCCAAGTTGTTAGTTGGACATCCCTCAAGGCCTCCCAAGCTGCCAGAGGGATGTCTGATCTCTCAGGGCACGGGCCTAAGCCAGCAGGTGGACATCCCCCAAGGGCTCCTGGACTGCGAGAGGGTGCAGGCCGGGCTGAGGGACACCACCCCTGCCCCCCCTCCCCCGAGTGCATGAATTTTTGTGCACCGGGCCTCTAGTAGTTAATAATACTGTATTGCATATTTGAAAATTTCTAAGAGAGTAAATCTTAAAAGTTCTCATCCCAAGTAAAGGAAACTTGGTAACCATCTAGTGATAGATATTAACTAGACTTATTGTGGTGGTCATTTTGCAATACTGTTGACCCTTGAACAACAAAGGTTTGAACCATGCAGGTCCAACTTATATGCTGATTTTTTTTAAATAAACACCTACAGTACTATAAATGTGTTTTCTCTATCTTATGATTTTCTTAACATTTGTTTTTCTCTAGCTTACTTTATTGTAATACATGTAACATGCAAAATATGTTTTAATAGACTGTTTATGTCAGGGGTCCCCAAACTATGGTCCGCGGGCCACATGCAAATACAAATATTGTATTTGTTCCCATTTTGTTTTTTTACTTCAAAATAAGATATGTGCAGTGTGCATAGGAATTTGTTCATAGTTTTTTTTTAAACTATAGTCCGGCCCTCCAACGGTCTGAGGGACAGTGAACTGGCCCCCTGTTTAAAAAATTTGAGGACCCCTGGTTTATGTTATTGGTGAAGCTTCCAGTCAACCGTAAGCTATTAGTAAAGTTTTGGGGGAATCAAAACTTATATGTGGATGTCCCTAACCCCAGTGTTGTTCACAAGTCACCTGTATATACAAATATCAAGTAATTACATTGTACACCTGAAACTAACGTTACATGTCAATTATACACCCTCCCTCCCAAAGTGTATGAGGAACACCAGATCATACCCAACAGGAGTAGGAGCATGTTGTCTAAGTCACCAGCAGTTAGAAGTCTAGAGTGATTCCATCTGAGGCTGCTAGGGTTTGTTTGGGTGGAGGAGAGAAGGCAGCTTCCCAGTGCAAGCAGAGTGCTGGCTCATGGCGGGGCTGGGCTCTACTCCTTTCACTGGTGGTGAGCAGGGCCCACCTCATTCCTGGATGGACCAGAAGGCCACTTCTCTGGTATGATTTAGAAGTTTTCCAAAGTTGTTCTTCCCTTTACTATCAAAAATAATTCCCTAGCCCTAGCCAGTTTGGCTCAGTGAATAGAGTGTCGGCCTGTGGACTAAAGGGTCCCAGGTTCAATTCCGGTCAAGGGCACATACATAGGTTGCAGGCTTGATCCTTGGCCCTGGTTGGGGTGCATGCAGAAGGCAACCAACCAATGTGACTCTCTCATCATTGATGTTTCTGTCTCTCTCCCTCTTCTTTCCTCTCTGAAATCAATACAAATATTTTTAAAATATTTCCCTAGTTTCCTGTCAAGGGTTGAAATGTAATCCCAGGTTGCATTCTTTAAACAAATAAAAGGGTCCTGTTGCCTAGGAAATAACATCATTTCTGCAGATATTCATTTATTTAGCAAAGTGCTAGCCACTGGGGGAATGGGACATTGTAATCCTTTCCTACCCAGAAAGATCCCAGGACCAATTTCAAATTTCATCCTTTGGAGGGGGAATGAGATGGGCAGAGGTGCCCCCACATTCTCCCTTAATGAACTCATAAGTAGGGTATCGTCTGTTTCTTACCAGCTCCGCATACAAAGACCTTGTTCCCCAGGGTGACTCCAGCTCGCCGGCAGGTATGGATCCCCACAGACAGTGGCTCAATCAGGGCCCCTTCCTCAAAGGTGACATTGTCAGGAAGCCTGGGGAGTCAGCCGTTCAACACACTCAGTTAGTCCCTCTGGGTTGACAATCATTTATTGAGCATTTATTTATGTGGCGGGCAATGTGCTAAGCAATTTATGTAAATTCACTCATGTAAATCCTCAGATTACATGTAGTAGGTAGTATTATTCCTATTTTACAGACAAGGAAACTGAGGCTTGGAGGATTAAATAACTTGCTCTAAAGGTTCAAAACTAGTGAGAGGCTCAAAGGATTTGAAATTGAAACCAGATACAGCATACCCATAAGCCTCATCCCAGCATCTCATTTTTTTTCTCTCAAGCAATCCCGACTATCAGCAGCTTTGAAAAATAGTGATTTAGAAGCTGGCGTCACTCTGTTCATTGTCTCCCCATTACACGTTCCAGAAGAACCACATCGGATGGCAGCAGCTGCCTGGCTGTCCCGGGCCTGGGTAAGGTGGGGAAAGCACCTGTCTGTACACAGCTGGTGAAATGCTGTGTCACCTTCCTTCACCACGGGGCTCTTGGTTTTCACTTCCAAGTCCACGGGTATCTTGATCCTTTTAACCATCCTACTGATGATGACAGCAAACATTTGCCTAAGGCTTTACAGATTAGCCAGCTTTCTCTTCCATTATCTCATTTAATCCTCACCATGACCTTGTTAGGTGAGAAGGACAGGCTTTATTTTTACCTTCATTTTACAGAAGAGAAAACTGAAGCTCAATGACATTAAGAGACTTGCCCAAGGTTAAAATGCTAGTGGGTGGAAAAGCAAGGTTTGAACCCAGGGCTCCTGATTCCACATTCTCTGCCAGTCCCATTATTAGCTGACTCTTGGTACAAATAGCTCTGTAGTTAATATTTAATTTCTGCTAGTTCTTAACCGTCCAGTATTTATTTATTCAGTGCCTCCAAAAACTCCACATAAAAACCCTCAAGTTAAAAAAAAACAAACAACACCAAAAACAAACCCCTCAAGTTCCAGCCTTGGCTGGTGTGGTTCAGTTGGTTGGGCTTCGTCCCAAGCACCCAGAGGTCACTGGTTCGTTTCTTTGTAGGGTACATGTTCGGGTTTCCGGCTTGATCTCCAGTAGGGTGTGTGTAGAAGGCAGCTGATTGATGTTGCACTATCACATCAATGTTTCTCTCCCTCTCCTTTCCTGTCTCTCCAAAAATCAGTAAAATATCTTTAAAAAAAGAAAGAAAGAAAACCCTCAAGTTCCAAAAAGAAATAACAGTGGCAGCCAAACCATGTGCTCATCCTCATTACCTTCTGTCATGGTTCACGATCCCCAAAGAATAAATAGCAAGGCCTGCAGATGGCCTGGCTGCCACCCAACACCCTTTTCTTCCCTCCCCTCTGCTTCTCTCACATCATTTCCCCACTCCTATCCACCCTCCTGCTCTGAGTGCTGTCATCACCCCTTCTACTCACCCCATCAACTCTATGAAAAAAAGTTGGAAATGGAATCATGAAAATTCCCACTCTCATGAACTGCCAACCACACCCTCTCAGACACATCTGCCCCTTCCCAGTTGGGCCTTCCCTAAAGCTTGTATTGGATCTAACCTGAGGGTGGCCTTTGGTCAGGAGCTGCGTGCTTCTCTCCCCTTCACTCTGACTTCCCTTTGGAATGAGAGCACCAAGGATAAAGGGACTGGGGATGGTGCTAAGAGAGGATTGCAATCTGGGAGATCTCACACATGCAGCCATAGCCAGCAGCATGGAGGCAGAAGCGCCAGGGGGAGTCCTGGGGCTCAGCCCCTTTGCCACTGACCTTGAGAGAGTTACTGGGTCATCCTTTCCCAAATTTGTTCACTGGGGGTTGAGGGAGGAGGGGGATGAGAAGGAAAGATGAGTGTCTTCCCAGCCCTAATCTTTCATGACTATAAACACCAGAGAATGACAAGGCAATTTGGTGGTTTTCACAATAGGGTTCAGGGAACAGGCAAAAGGGTTAAAGAATAATTAAGCCAAGGAGGAAGCAGGAAGATAAACTGAATAAGGTGGGTAGGAAAATAAATAGACTGGTAGAGAAACCAGAGAGAAGGGCTTGCGCCCATGGGCTGGGGACACAGCCAGAAAGAACCCTGCGAGGAGAGGAGAGGCAGGGGTTGCATGTCCCCTAGAGGGCCTCCCCCTTCCTCCCATCACCATCGCCAGCCGGAACACCCTCCCACAGCATTCCCTACAAAGCATCCCTCACGCCTCCCCAGCCCAAGGCTGTCTTTCCGGGCTAACCCTGTTCTAACCCCTGGACTCAAGGCCATGGCTATGACATGATGGCACCATTTATTGAGCACCTCCTTTGTGCCAGGACTCATGTTGAGCACTTGATATGCTTTTCTCATTAAATCCTGTCAATTCTATGCATTTCATCAGATTGGTTCTATTATCATCTCCATTTTACAGGCAAGGATACTGAGTTTACCAAGTTTAAGTAACTTGTTCAAGGTCACGCTGTTGGTAAATGGCAGAGATTAGTGGTTAGTTTCGAGCTTTACCTCTTTGTTCTTCTGCCTTCAACAAAAACTTTGTTTGGTGCCCTGAGTTGGAAAGGGCCCAGGAAAGGTGGTTCTGGAACTACTTGCTAAAAGGTGGACTCTGCCCACAAAACCTGTTTTCTTCTAGAGCAGGTTTGGATGTTGACTTAATTAAACTCATCATGAGGTCTCCAGCCTGTGACTCCTCTCAAGGTTTCCAGTGGGCACTTGAAAACTCAGATCTGTCAGACTGCCCTTGTGATTGGCATCAAGCCTCCATCGGACAAGCCCCATCCTGGCTGACAGCGCCACTGCTGGGGCCGGGCTGGGGTGGGAGGAATCAGAAGGAAAGTGGCACAGCAGCACCCCAGAGCTCCAAGGGCTGGGGCCATGTAGGAGGTACAGCACTCTGCTTCTGCCAGCCAGACACAACTTCTCACCCCAAAACCATTTTGAATGTTGGGGTCGTGCAGTGAACACAGGGCAGGAGTTCAAGAATCACAGCTTGACTCCTGGTTCTGCTCTGTGCCAAGCCTGTTAGCCTCCTCCTGCCTCTGCTAACTCTTGCAATAAACTGCACAACTGGGCCCTGGCTGGTTTGGTTCAGTGGATAGAGCATCGGCCTGTGGACCAAAGGGTCCCGGGTTTGATTCCAGTCAAGGGTATGTTCCTTGGTTGCAGGCTCCTCCCTGGCCCAGGCCCTGGCTGGGGCTCGAGCAAGAGGCAACCAATCGATGTGTTTCTCTCACATTGATGTTTCTCTCTGTCTTTCCCTCTCTCTTCCACTCTCTCTAAAAGATCAATGGGAAAATATCCTCAGGTGAGGATTAACAAAAAAGTAAAACTAACTAAATAAATAAATAATAAATAGACTGCAGACCTGGTGCCCACCTCATCACTGTCCTTTCGGAGTAAGATAAGGCGTGCAAAGCACTTACTAGCACATGGCCCGGCACATAGTAATAATAACTGTGACTTTCCATGCATTGTCTTATTTAATCATCTGAAGCAGAGGAAGGTTAAGTCATTTCCCCAGTTACTCGCTAGGAGGGAGTGAATCCAGGGCCCCAAAGTCCTGTGCTGGCTCCTTGCCAGGCCTCCTCAGTAAGCCCCCCACAAGGCCACTGCTGTTAAAAGTTCTCCTGTAGCTGCAGTGGAAACCAATAATGGAAGATGAACCACAACAAGTTATCACCAGGATGGCTGGAAAGGAGTGAGTGACTTTAGCGACCGTTTTCTATTGCTGCTCTGGGTGAGGGAAAGTTAGACTGAAAGACTAAAACCAAGCACTGTGAGTCAGTCTTAGTGCTAGTCAGCCTGCCCTCCCTCCGCCCACCCAGGAGAGCAGGCCCACTATGGAGATGCCTCATGTCTGGAATTAAGTGCTAAAAAGAACCAAGTTACCACAGGAAAGTAGAAGAAAGAACACCAAACAAATGGAGGGAGAGAGGTCCCAGGTGGCAAGGCTGGGCTGGGCACTAACTTGTAGCAGAAGTTGGCATCGTGCTTATAGAACCGGCAGAGGTTCCCATCATCGGGGGGCGTGGCACAGAAGAAGATGGTTGGTGACAGGTTGTATCGGCCAATCTTGCAAAATTCATCGATTTCTCGAGGAGCACCAGGCTCGATGGCAACGCGATCACCTGGAGAGGAAAACAGGAGCAGGCACAGAGGTGCTGTGAGGGGGCACAGGCTCATGGGCAGATAC